TCTGTGTATGCTTTTTGAGCACGTGGGCTTTTCCTCACAAGCTTACAAGCTGGCCTTGGGCTATTAGCGGGGTCTCCAAGGTGTCCTTATCTTCCTTAATGGTGCCGGGAGCAGTTCACTCACCTTCGTGGGCATACACGCATGGTTCTTCACAGTTCCCATTTGTAGGGTGTGGTGCCTGCAGTAGTTCCTTTCCACCCACTGTCCTGCTTGATCTGTAGTTTGTTGTTGTTGTTGTTTTCCCTCCTTTCTGTTGGTCAGAGTGTGCTGGCTTTGTGGGTGGGGGAAGGTAGCAGGGTTCTTCCTTCTTGGTTTTTTAAAAGAGTTTGTGTAGGATTGGCAGTAGTTCAGTTCTGAAAGAATGATAGAATTCATTTGTGAAGCCACCTGGTCCTGGGCTTTTGTTTTGGGGCATGGTTTTGATTACTCTTTCAATTTCACTACTTGTATTTTGTCTGTTTTTGTGTTCTCTTTCTTCTTTATCTGGCTTTAGAGGATTATATAGTTTTAGGAATTTGTCCATCTCTTCTAAATTGTTGAACTTGTTTGCATGTAACTGTTCATAGTAATCTCTGATTATTCTTTTGATATCTACTGTGTCTGTTGTGATTTATCCTCTTTCGTTTATGAACCTATTTATTTGTGCATTCTTCTGCTTTTTCTTTGTGAGCCTTGCTACAGGTTTGTCTATTCTGTTGTTTTATTCAAAGAACCAACTTTTGGTTTCATTGATCTTTTGGGTTGTTTTTTTAACTTATATTTCATTTATTTCTCTTTGATTTTTATTATCTCCTGTCTTCTACTGGCTTTTGGGTTTTTTTGTTGTTCTTTTTCCAGTTCTTTAAGGTGGGAGATTAGGTTGTTTCTTTGAGTTCTTATTTGTTGATGTGAGCCTGTATTGCTATATATTTTTCTCTTATAACTGCTTTTGCTGTGTCCCACATGTTCTGGAGAGTTGTGCCCTCATTGTTATTTGTCTGAAGGTATTTTTTAGTCTTTTTTGATCTCCTCATTGATTCAAGTATCTTCCAGTAGTGTGGGTTTCCATCGCCATGAGATAAGAGGCTTCATTGTTTTATTTTCATGGTTCATTTCTAGTTTGATGCCTTTATGGTCAGAGAAGATAGTTGGTATGATTTTTGATCTTAGTGTATCTGTTGATATTTGTCTTTTGTCCCAGTTGTGATCAATCCTGTAGAATGAATCCTGTGCACTTGAGAAAAATATGTACTCAAATTCTTTTGGGTGTAGTGTCCTATAGATATCTGTTAAGCCCATGAGGTCTAGGTCCTTATTTAGCGCTCTAGTGTCCTCACTTTTATTTTTGTCTCTTTGATTGGTTATTGGAGAGAGTTTTGCGTTGAAGTATCCTACTCCATGTAGTTTTTTTAATGTCTGTTTTCAGAGATCACAATAATTGTCTGATATATGTTGGTGCTCCTTCATTCGTTGAGTATATGTTGATGAGTGTTGTGTCTTCTTGATGTATTGTCCCCTTAATCATAATGTAGTGACCATCTGTGTCATTTTTACTTTTTTTAGTTTGAAGTCTATTTTATCTGATTTAAGTATTGCTGTTCCTGCCTTCTTTTTTGGTCCATTTGTTTGTAGGATGGTTTTCCATCCTTTTACTTTCATTCTATGTTTATCTTTTCAGTTAAATGTGTTTCCTGTAGACAGCAAAACATTGGGTTCTGTTTTTTAATCCAGCCTGCTACTCTGTGTCTTTCTTTGATGAGTTTGTTACGGAGCAGCCCCGATACAAAACGGGTTGCCTGGCTGTGGGTCCTCACCCGCGCGCTTAAAAGGGACTTATGAATACTCCACTACAGGCACACACAAAAGGTTAATAAAAGGTTTATTTACAAGGGAAAGGGAATTGAGGAAATGTACAACTCAGGGAGAAAATAGGGAAATAAAGTCTTTCATGCATCCTACCTGATCCACCAACCTGGAAACCCGAAGGCACTCTCAGAGCTGGCCAAGCACTGCAAGCTGGCGGAGAGCCAAAAAGGGAATCCCTCAAAGCCCACGTGTCTGGTTTTTATACCAAACCTGGCTGCTTAACCCCACCCTCAGGTTCCAGCAACCTTCCCTTTGCTGGTGATGGGATTTGTCTCTCCCAATGTCTTTTGGCTTTGGTCTGGAATGAGTGTGGAGTCCACAAAGCCTGTATGGAATTAGCTTTAGGACATCCTTTTCCCCCTAACAAGTTTAGTCCATTTACATTTAGAGTTAATATTGATGTGTTAGCATCCGTATTCGTCATTTTCCTTGCCTTTTTGTGATTCTGTTCCTTACATTATTTTCTGTCCTTCCTATTCATTCCTTTTTGGTTTTGGCTTTAGGGTTTCTTTAAATATTTTTTGGAGTGGTGGGATAGTAGTAATAACTTTCTGGAGATTTTGTTTATCTGAGAATATTTTTATTTTTCCTCATAGAGGAAGGAGTGCCTTGCAGGGTAGAGTATTCTTGATTGGAGTTTGTTGACTTGAAGTTTATTAAATATGTCACTCTGTTCTCTTCTTTCCCATAGTGTATCTTCAGAGATGTCTGATGTCAGCCTAATTGGCTTTCCTTTATAGATTATCTGTTTCTTTGCCCTCGTCAGTTTCATTATTTCGTCCTTGCCTTGGACCTTTGGAAGCTGCTATCATGTTTCTGGCCATAGTTTTTCTTTCATTGTGGTAATTTGGTGTTTTTCTAGCTTCCTGTATGTCTATTATAATTTCCTTCTTCATGCTTCAAAATTGGAAGTTTCTCCAATTATCTCCTTGAATATTTTGTAGGTTCCTTGGTCTCTCTCCTCACTTTCTGGGATTCCTATAACTCTTCTATTTCCTTTCCTCTTGGTGTCAGATAGTTCTCAACATTTTTCTTCATTCTTTTTTCTTTGTACTTCTCTTTCCTTTTCTTTGGTTCTTTTTATGTCTGTATTTTCGAGAGTGCTGACTTTTTCTTCCATTTCTTCTATTCTATTTTCATGACTTTCCCCCAAATTCTTGAGTTCCTCAGCTAATTTCTGAATTTCCTCCAGTTCTTTCGCACTCTTCCTCAGTTCATTGATAATATTCTTATCTCTTACTGTGTTTACTCTTAACTCTTTAATTGTTTGCATTATGGCCTGTTCAGTTCTTTGTTAGGTGGAGATAATTCTTCCATGTCCATGTTTTCAGGTTCTGGTGGTTGACTTTCTTTCTGTACCATATTGTTCTCAGAAGGGCCTGCTCGATCATTTGTAATTTTCTTTCTTCCTGGCTTTGTTCTTTTGGTTGAGTCCCTGTTCTGCTGGCGCTGGTGGACGTGATTCTGATTTCTCTTGCTCAGTCCTAGATGTGTCTGCCTAGTGTCTGAGCTGCTGTGGCTGGATACACATCCAGACACTCTTCTAATTATGGTAGGAGTTGTTCTGAGCTGTGCTTTGCACCAGGAGCCTGTTTTTCTGGCCCCGATTTTATTGGATGGGATCTGATGTCTCAGCCTGTGGTTGTCAAGAGTTTCTTGTAGAGTATTGCACCTCTAGACACGCGCTGAGGCCAAGTCCACTGGGAGGTGTCTGCAGTCTGGGTGCAATGTATTTCTCTGTTGAACTGCTAGATCCTTCTAAGCATGTCTTCACAAGAATACTGGGATCACAAGAGAATAAGGAGAGAAAGAGGGGATGAAAGGAAAGAGGATGGTACAGAAATGTAGATGGAGCAAAGGTGAGAGAAAAAGGAAGGAGATAGATAGGAGGAAGAGGAGAAAGGAGGAAGAGGAGGCATAAATGTAGCAGAAGAGAAGGTAGTGTTTGTAATGTTGAAGGGAAGAAAGAAAAAGTTAAAGGAATCAGAAAACAGATATAGTAGAGAGGGAAAGGAATAAGAGATAACCAGCTGATTGATAAACAGAAACAGATGAGGGGAGAATTGCTTCTCAGGACTCTACTGGTTTCCAGTGAGCTAGTTGTAGTTCTTTCAGTCTGGGAACTGCCGAAGGGTTGAGTAGGATAGTCTTTCCGGGGAGGGTAGGTATGGAGAAAAAAATTACAAGGACAAAAGGGCACAGAATGAACTGCAACTGTGAATGTGGTATCATCAGCACAGCTTCTGGGTGCCTGTGAGGTAGTTGAGTGGGTGATGGTGCTCCTACAGCCTCCCTCACCTGAGGGTTTGGTGTACCAAGAGGTCCCCAAAGTTGGGACTAGCCATATTGGGCTCCCCCTGATGTCCTTCCCACTTTAGTGCAACCAGCAGGTTAATTGTTCCTGCCATTGGGTGTGGGGGTGAGGCACCACAATCAAGGGACCTTACCTAGCACTGTGTGTCTGTGGAGAGGCCCTACTTGTCACCTTTCATTGTCTGGACCCCTCAAATGTCTCAGGATTCTCCTGGTTGCTTGTTTTCAAGCTTTTCCTCCCTTACTTCTAGATGTAGTGGGCCGGCTTTGTGGGTGGGGGAGGGGAGAAAGGTTCCAGTGATTTTTCTCTTTCTCTTCCCCCATCTTTCCAACTTCCCTTAGCAGTCTGAGTGAATCACAGGTGCT